GCACACGCACACGCACACGCACACGCACACGCACACGCACACGCACACGCACACGCACACACACACGCACACACGCACACACGCACACACTCGGACTCACACGCACACACAAACACACACACAGCCCACATATACACCACACTCAGCACACACGCACACACACACGCACACATACACAGGCACACAGCACACAACACACCACACTTAGCACACACACGCGTAATCCAACGGCTGCAAGCGCAGTGGCGGATTCTAGACGAGGTACACGAGCGGAGCGTCGATGCTGACCTCCTCACGATGTTGCTGAAGCTGCTGATGCAGTGCTATCCGCACGTCAAGCTCATCGTCATGAGCGCAACCCTCCAGGCGCACCTCTTTGCCGAGTACTTCAAAAAGGTCGAGCTCACCTACATGGGCAAGAAGTTCGACGGGCCGATACCCGAGGCTCGAAGAAGAAAAAACGACATTCACATAAACTTTTGGCGCTCCGCGCGGATTTCTTGGATCCGCGCTGGGCCCCACCAGCGGCGCATCCAGCGCCGCCCCTGGCGCGCGGAGCGCGCCAGGGAGGGGGGTCCGGCGCAGATCCAAGAAGTCCGCGCGGAGCGCCGAAAGCTTATGCTCGTGGCGTTTTTTTTCTGGAGGTGAAGCCCCTGTTCGTTGGCGTGCGCACCTTCCCCGTGGAGCAGGTCTACCTGGACGACCTGGACGCCAACTACAGGATCGAGGGCGGGCAGGCCCGGCGAGCACTGGAGGCCCTGCCCGCTGCCCTCCGGGGGCCCCGCTTCCCGCGGCGTCGTCGTCGTCGTCGTCGCCGTCGTTGAGTGACGTCGTCGTCGTCGTCGCCGTCGTCGTCGTCGTCGTCGTCGTCGTCGTCGATGTCGTCGTCGTCGTCGTCGTCGTCGTCGTCGTCGTCGGCGTCGTCGTCGGCGTCGTCGTCGTCGTCGTCGTGGTCATCGGGGGCCCTTCGGGCGTAAACCCAGCAGAAATCTGAAGGCCGAACGCTAACTCCTATGGACTCCAGATCTCGCGCAAGAGCATCAAGAGTGTGGGCTGGACCCTGACCCTGGGCGTTCTCTCAGAGCTTTGTTTGGTCACGTTTTTGTATATCCGGACATGGACTACCGTTCAAGAGAAAGCTCAGAGTGGAGTGCCGAAACTGTTCTCAACTCGCAGCAGGGGTGCAGCCCGATCGTTTCCGTTCGCGAGGTGCGTTACGGTCGGGAACTTTTGGTTAGCGTGTCGCTCCGCCGGTTCTGGCCCACCACGTTTTGGAGACACGTTATCCTGTTTCCAGTCCCAAGGCTCCAACGTCCGGAGCCTATCCCAGCCTCCCGCCCCGCGGAGCAGAGCGACACGCTATCCTATTGCAGGGCACAGCGTGTCGCCGGGGCCGCCACGGCGACACGCTAAGCAAAAGCTTCCGACCGTAATTGGACTGGACTGGTCGCACCCGTTAGGCGGCCGTTTCGTCATCCCTTGCACAGTTGTGTTCTGGAGCTCGGAGCATCCCCTGCGCAGTTGTGTTCTGGAGCCCGGAGCGTTGTACGTTCCTCGTCGCTCGTTCGTTTGTTGCCCCCCGGGCCCTCCACCCGTGTCGCTCCGTCATGACCGCAAGAGAGCACCAGTATGGCCCCAAGAACCCCCTTTGTCCTCACGCCGCTTCGACTTGCCCTCGCCCTCCCACGGGCGAGATCCAGGGCTGCCAGGTGCGCAACCCACGGCGCAACCAGTGGCGGCGAGTCGCCTCGCGATTCTTAAGATCCGTGGGCCCCGGGGCTCTCCCTGGACCCCTCTCTGTGGGGGGCAGTTTCGTGGCCCCAGGGCCTGGCAGCGGTCACCTAAGGCCGACCGACATCGAGGAGTCATCCCCACTTCTGATTTCTGATTACGACAGCTGAGCCAGGGCAGGGGACTTCACGAGTAGGCGAAGCCTGACGGTTAGCATGCGCATGTGCGGGTATGGGAAGCGGGATCTGGTCACGAGTCTACCAGCGTGAGTCCTGGGTCTTTCTTCCGTATCCTTATCAGTCTCCTTCTCTTCTTGCATTCGCCATCCTCTATCCTCATCATAGACACGGACGGCCAGTGCGCATCTGCGCGCTGCCCAGGGTACACACATGAACCATACGCAGTGGGCGCGCGCGTGAAGAGACGCACGCGAGCTGTTTTTGGCCACCTGCGCGCTAGTAGTTCCGAAACTCTGTTGAAGGTTTCGGGAGAGAGGTGGTGGTGGTGATGAAGGAGATCATCATGTTGCTGCTGCTGCTGATGATGGTGATGGTGATGGTGATGGTGATGGTGATGATGATGATGATGATGATGATGATGATGGTGGTGGTGATGATGACGATGCTGATGATGCTTATGTTGATGCTGATGACGATGGTGATGATGATGATGCTGCTGATGCTGATGACGATGACGATGCCGATGACGATGCTGATGACGATGATGTTTATGCTGCGGTTAATGCTGATGATGATGACGATGCTGATGAACATGTTGATGATGATGCCGATTATGCCGATGATGATGATGATGATAATGATGCTGATGATGACGATGCTGATGTTGAGGTTGATCAGTATGATGATGATGATGATGATGATGCTGATGCGGATGGTGATGATGACAATGAAGATGTTGATGATGATGCTTATTAGTATTGTGATGTTGATGCAGATGATGATGATGACGACGATGATGGTGATGCTGGTGGTGATGATGATGATACTGATGTTGATGATGATGCTGATGATGACGACGACGATGATGCTGACGATGATGATGTTGATGATGCTGCTGCTGGTGATGATGATGCTGATGCTGATGATGCTGATGATGCTGATGATGGTGGCGGTGATGATGCTGATGATGCGGCTGCTGATGGTGATGATTCTGCTGATGCTGATGCTGATGATGGTGATGCTGAGCATGAGTAGGAGGAGGAGGAGAGTAGCAAGAGAAGGAGGAAGGACGATGAATAGGAGGACGAGGAGGAGGAGGAGGACGAGGAGGAGGAGGAGGAGGAGGAGGAGGAGGTGTGAGGGAGGCAGGAGGAGGAGGATGAGGAGGAGGGGAGGCGGAGGTGGGAGGGAGGAGGGAGGAGGAGATGAAGGATGCGGAGGGATGCGAGAGGGAGGAGGAGGAGGAGGAGGAGGAGGAGGAGGAGAGAGGACGAGGAGGACGAGGTGGAGGAGGAGGAGGAGGAGGAGGAGGAGGAGGAGGAGGAAGAGGAGGGGCAGGGAGGATGAGGGACAGGGACGTTGAGGATGAAGAGCAGGAGGAGCAGCAGATGGAGTAGGAGGAGGAGGAGGAGGAGGAGGTGGAGGTGGAGGAGGAGGAGGAGGGACGAGGGACGTGGACGAGGGACGAGGGACGAGGGTTGGCCCTCTCCTCCGCTTCGTCGTCGTGGTCGTGGTCGTGGTCGTCGTCGCCGTCGTCGTCGTCGTCGTCGTCGTCGTCGTCGTCGTCGTCGTTGTCGTCGAAGCCGTCGTCGTCGTCGTCGTCGTCGTCGTCGTCGTCGTCGTCGTCGTCGTCGTCGTCGTCGTAGTCGTCGTTGTCATAGTCGCCGTTGTCATAGTCGCCGTTGTCGTCGCCGTGCCGTCGCCTCCCTGCCCCGCGGGGCAGTTCGGCGGGGGCGCAGCTCCCGGGCGCCGTGCCACGTGCTGTGTCGTGCAGCCTCCCGCAAGCAGCACCACCAGCCAGGCCGCTGCAGCAGGCGTAAGCATGGAGCGGACCGACGCAGTCACCATCACCCAGGGCCCCCTCGAACCCCTGCCCTCTCCCGTCCGCGTCTGTCCACCCCGCCTCCTCCTCCCCGGCCCCCCCCTCTTCGCCCCTTCCCCCCCTTCCCCCTCCCCTACCTCCCGCCCGCCTCCCCCCCCCCCTCCCGCCCGCCTCCCCCCCTCCTCCCCCCGCCCTTCCCCCTCCCCGTACAGAGAGGCACCTGCCTTAGAGACATGCGTCGCCGCCACGCCGCGGGGCGCTCCCTCCAGCCAGGCCGAGGCGAGCCCCGCCCCTGGCGCTGGCCCGGCCGCACCTGGGCTTCGCTTCGGCTGCCCGCAAGAGTGACCCTTCGCCGGAGTGGCCTTTGGTGCGGGCCCACTGGCTGGGATTACTGAAGGCTGGCATGCACCTTCTCACCTCATAGTCAGCTGGTGCCAAGGCTCCTCCTGCGTCGGCCTCGTTCGTCTTTCCCACTCCCCTCACCTGTCCCGCTCCTGCAGCGCCGGTGTGCCTCCTCTCCCCCCTCAGGCGTGCCTCCTCCCGCCAGCACTGACTGGCGCGCTTGGGTTGCTCGAGCCTGGCCCCTGTTGCGGCCCCCCAAGGCCGCGCACCACAGGTCACGCGTGCCTAGGGTCACTCTTGCGTGCAGCTAGCTGATCGGTCCCCGCCCTTGCCCCTCGGGGGCGGCCAAGAAGGGGGCGATGACCAGGGAGGGTGAGGTCATGGCAGGAGCCACGATGTCTCCCCAGGTTCCATGGCGCCTCTTCTTGTTTCACTTCGTCCTCTGGCCCCCCCTTTGGGCCGCGCACATGCCTCGGGCCATGATTTGCACCTCTTCGACGCCCCCCTCTTGGACGCCCCCGATGCCCCGCCCTGGCCCCTGGGCTGGGCCCCGGTGTCCTGCCGGGCGCTTCCCCGACCTCGGGCCCGCCCTGTGAACCCACGCCGGCCTGTGCCCCTCCTCCGCTCCAGGTCGTCCTCCTCTGTCCTCCTCCGTCCTCCTCTGTCCTCCTCCCTCCTCCGTCCTCCTGCTTCTGTTCGGAGCGTGCCTGCACGACGGAGTCCCCTTCCCACCAGTCGGGGAGCTGGCAGCTTTCAGCATCGCACGGCTCTCCGGACCTCTCCCCGGGGGGGGCTGCAGGGCAGGTGCCTCCCGCACCGGTCACCGAGCGCGTTCCACTACTCGCAAAGTGCCTACTCGCAAACGCCCGAGAAACACGTGTCTGCTTCGATGTAATGTATCGTAGATCCCCCCGCGGCGGGTCCGGGCAATTGGCGAGCAGCTACTTTGCGAGTGGTGGAACGCGCTCGTCTAACCAGCGTCGGGCTCCTCACTCCTGGCCCTCGGCCGTGGGGAGAGCCGACGCGGGGCGGGCGCCAGGATGCCACCCGCGGCAGAGAGCAGGGGCTCTGCGCTTGGTGGCCCGTCCAGGCAGGCGGCCCGAGCGCGGACCTGCCTCAAGATGTCGGGAAGGACCGCGGCAGAGAGCAGGGGCTCTGCGCTTGGTGGCCCGTCCAGGCAGGCGGCCCGAGCGCGGACCTGCCTCAAGATGTCGGGAAGGACAGGAGGAGGAGGAGGAGGAGGAGGAGGAGGAGGAGGGGGAGGAGGAGGAGGAGGAGGGGTGGAGGGGAGGAGGGAAGGAGGAGGAGGGGGAGGAGGGGGAGGAGGGGGAGGAGGAAGAGGAGGAGGAGGAGGAGGAGGAGGAGGAGGAGGAGGATTAGGAGGAGGATTAGGAGGAGTAGGAGGAGGAGGAGGAGGAGGAGGAGGAGGAGGTTGAGGAGGAGGGTCCGCTCGCTCCACCAGGACCCATTCCAGTTGCCGCGTTGCGCTGCGAGGAGCTCGAGTGCTTCGGGCAGTCCCCCCGCGGGAACAAAAAGAGAGCACGTATACGCAAACCGCGCCCGAGCGACGGCACGCATGGCTACAGGCTGGGCCGCGATGCTCTCGCGGCGCCCAGCCCCGAGGGCCATCCGGCGGCCATCGGTGCAGCGTCCGCCCGCAGGGCGCCATCAGAGCCATGGACAAGGGCGGCGGCAAAGGAGGCAAAGGACCGATGGGCGGCTATCCTTATGATGCTCCAGCCTACTGCAGCCTTGACTGCCAGGAAGAAGTCCGAGCGCCCCCAAAAAAGTACCGAAGCTCGAGGGTCTTCACGTGCCGGGCCCTGGGGGACGCTGTTTCGACACTCTTTTGACACTTCTCTGGGTGCTCGAAATTGTTTCTGGGATGCTGTCCTCAAGCAGGACGGGAACAACACAAGGCTATCCACGTCGACCGCTGGCTCTCTCTCTCTCTCTTGCGCTGTTCTTGTTCCCCCTTCCTCCTCCCTCCTGCTCCCCAGAGCTCCGACGTCGTGTTGCGAAGGCCTCACGGCCGGTGCCGCAGACCCTGAAGGGGGACGACGACGGACGACGACGACGACGACGACGACGACGACGACGACGACGACGACGACGACCACGACGACGACGACGACGACGGCTTCGACGACGACGGCTTCGACGACGACGGCTTCGACGGCGACGGCGACGGCGGCGACGACGAAAAGCATTCAAAAATGTGAGGAACATTCATTCCCGGCGGAGCCAGGTGAAATTCCGTGCCCGCCGGCTGACTGATGACTGACTGAACGTCAGGGGACAGCTCGGGAGACACATTTCAAACCGCCCGCGGGAGCGCAACCCGGCGGCGGCAACCGCTACCCAACCGGGCGACACATTTCAAAGCGCCCGCGGGAGCGCGCAACCGCAACCGCAACCGCAACCGGGCGACACATTTCAAAGCGCCCGCGGGAGCGCGCAACCGCAACCGCAACCCGACACATTTCAAAGCGCCCGCGGGAGCGCGCAACCGCAACCGCAACCGCAACCGGGCGACACATTTCAAAGCCCCCGGCGTGCGCAATCGCAACCGCAACCGGGCGACACATTTCAAAGCGCCAGCGGGAGCGCGCAACCGCAACCGCAACCGCAACCGGGCGACACATTTCAAAGCGCCCGCGGGCGCGCAACCGCAACCGCAACCGGGCGACACATTTCAAAACGCCCGCGGGAGCGCGCAACCGCAACCGCAACCGCAACCGGGCGACACATTTCAAAGCGCCCGCGCGCAAAACCGCCTTGGCAACCAGGGCGACACAATTCAAAGCGCCCAGCGGCGCGTAACCCGCATCGCAACCCAAGGCTGACACGTTTCAAAGCGCCCGCGGGAGCGCGCAACCGCAACCGCAACCGGGCGACACAGTTCAAAGCGCCCGCGGGAGCGCGCAACCGAAACCGCATTGGCAACTGGGCGACACATTTCAAAGCGCCCGCGGGAGCGCGCAACCGCAACCGCAACCGCAACCGGGCGACACATTTCAACCCGCCCGCGGGCACGCAACCGCAACCGCGACCGGGCGACACATTTCAACCCGCCCGCGGGAGCGCGCAACCGCAACCGCAACCGCAACCGGGCGACACATTTCAAAGCGCCCGCGGGAGCGCGCAACCGCAACCGCAACCGCAACCGGGCGATTCATTTCAAAACGCCCGCGGGCGCGCAACCGCAACCGCAACCCGGCGACACATTTCACCCCGCCCGCGGGAGCGCGCAACCGCAACCGCAACCGCAACCGGGCGACACATTTCAAAGCGCCCGCGGGCGCAACCGCAACCGCGACTGGGCGACAAATTTCAACCCGCCCGCGGGAGGGCGCAACCGCAACCGCAACCGCAACCGGGCGACACATTTCAAAGCGCCCGCGGGCGCAACCGCAACCGCAAGCGGGCGACACATTTCACCCCGCCCGCGGGAGCGCGCAACCGCAACCGCAACCGGGCGACACAGTTCAAAGCGCCCGCGGGCGCAACCGCAACCGCGACCGGGCGACACATTTCAACCCGCCCGCGGGAGGGCGCAACCGCAACCGCAACCGCAACCGGGCGACACATTTCAAAGCGCCCGCGGGCGCAACCGCAACCGCAAGCGGGCGACACATTTCACCCCGCCCGCGGGAGGGCGCAACCGCAACCGCAACTGGGCGACACATGTCAACCCGCCCGCGGGCGCACCGCAACCGCAACCCGGCGACACATTTCAAAGCGCCCGCGGGAGGGCGCACCCGCAGGGTTTCAAGGGGGTCCATTGCGCGCGCACTTGTGCGTAAGCTGCCCGCGGAAGGTGGCGCGTAGGCGCCTTAATGCGGTCTGCCGCGCGAGCGGCTTGCGTGATCCACCGCGCAAGGTCTTCGCGCAATCGAGTGCAACCCCCCTTCTGATCGTTTCTCCCTGGGGGTCAGGCGAGTGGAATTGCCTTAACCGCATCTCGGCCACGCTCGTGGGACTGCCCCCCGCAGGGTTTCAAGGGGGTCGATTGCGCGGGCACTCGCGCGCATGCTGCCCTCGTAAGGTCGCGCGTAGGCGCTGTTACGGTGACGCGGTCTGCCGCGCGAGCGGCCTGCGTGAGCAACCGCGCAAGGTCGTCGCGCATTCGAATGCAACCCCCCTTCTGATCGTTTCTCCCGGGGGGGTTCAGGCGAGTGGAGTTGCCTCAGCCACATTTCGGCCACGCTCGTGGGACTGCCCCCCGCAGGGTTTCAAGGGGGTCGATTGGGGGACGACAAGGAGAAGAAGGAGGAGCCACTGGCGGAGGACCCGACGACGAGCCCCCGCGTGGCCCGCGGTTCTCCGCCGGGACATTGCAGCGGGGAATCCCTATTCCACGCTGCTGCCCTTGATTTTACCCTCTTGGGGTTGTCTTGGGAGTGCTCGTGGGGCTCTCTAGGGCTCTTGCATGGGGGCCTCTTGGGGGCTTCTTCGGCGCCTCTTGGGGCATCCTGGGGTCCTCTTGGCGCGGAAGGCTCGAAATGTCGGTTGGGGTTCCTCCTCTCGGGAGCTTCTTGGGGCCCTCTTGTGGCCTTACGCGGCCGTCCTGGGGGCTAGTTGGGCGGTCTTGGGGCCGTCTTGGGCCCGTCTTGGGCTGTTTTCGAGCGCTTTCGGCGGTCTCTTCGAACGTTTCGGGGCGATGTTGGTGGCTTCCCAGCGTCGGAAGCCCAAAACGGCGAGAACAGGGAAATATAACAACTCTTACGAACATCTCTGACTTTCGCCTCTTGGGGCCTTTGGGAAAAGTAGTCATTTACCCCCAGAGTAGTCGACTGCTCCGGTGAGTAGTCGTCTACCGGGTGGAGGTAGTCTGCCGGGCGGGGGTAGTCGTCTACCAAGGGGAGGTCGTGTATAGGGCGGGAGGAAGTAGTCCTTGTCTGGAGGGAGTAGTCGTCTTCCGGGCGGGAGTAGTCGTCTACCGAAGAGACCAGTTGTCTACTGGGCGGGAATAGTCGTCTACTGGGCGGGAGTAGTCTTGTACTGGGGGGAGGTAGTCGTCTACGAGGCGGGAGTAGTCGTCTACCGGACAGGAGTGGTCGTCTATCGGGCGGGAGTTGTCATTTACAGGGCAGGCGTAGTCATCTACTGGGCGGGAGTAGTCATCTACCTGGGGTGAGTAGTCGTCCACTTGGGGGAAGTAGTCGTCCGCCTCGGTGGAACCGGATGGGAGTAATTGAGAACTGTGGGGAACACCCTACTCCTTGGAGCCCTCTTGGGGCGTCCTAGGGGCTGCTGAGGCCGTCTTGAGGGTATCTTGGGCCGTCTTGGAGCCACCTTGGGCTGTCTCAGTACCCTCTTGGAGCAAGCCGCGGTACAAGTGAGCTCGAGTCGTCTGAGAGGCAAGAAGTCGAATGGAGAAGCTTCTCTCTGGGAGGGGTGCTCCCCCCCCGGGGGAGGGGGGGTCACAACCGCCCTGGGGAGGGGGGGGTCACATCCCGCAGGACCTACCCCCCCTGGCGACCCCCCTCCGCTGGGGAAGGGATCAAAGAGAAGGGGCCCCCCTTCGACTCGATTACGACGTTGTTCGATTTCCGTCTGGATGGATCGCTTGAGGAGGAGGGCCCACGGAAATTGTGTTGGTTTCCCCGTCCTTCTCCCTCCCGCTCCCCAGAGCTCAGACGTCGTATTTTTTGTTAAAAAAGTCGACCCAGAAGAGTCTGGACCCCTTCCCCGGACTAGTTTTTCATTCTGGGCCGTTTTGGGTCTGTTTCGAGGCCGGATGAAGGCCCCTGGAGGCCGGCAACGGCCACACGTTGTTCGTCGTTTTTTCTCACGACACGAGGAGGTGGGGGTCCCTCTCCTCCTGCATCCTCTTCCTTCACCTTCCCAACTCGTTCCGCGCTCCCATCTCCCTCTCTATTTGCTCCCTGCTCCCTCCTTGCTCCTCTCTCCTGCACCCTCCCTGCTCCCTGCTCTCTCCTCCCCGCTCTCTGCCTCCTTCCTGCCTCCCCCCTCTTCGCTCCTTGCTCATCCCTCCTCTTCCTCCCCCTTCTCCTCTCCTTCCCGATCCCATCTCCCGCCTCTCCTGTCTCCTCATCTCTATCCTCCTCCTCCTCTGGAGCCTCTGGAGCCTCTGCGGACGCAATCCCTCAATGAAAGACTGGCCCGATGGGGAAAATTAGTGGACTGGGAAGGGGCGCCCCACCAACACCTTGGATGTGGGATCCATGCCCTGGCGCATGTACTTCAAAGCCCCTACCTTCCCTGTCCCAGCAAAGCGATGGCAGCGCGCGGCCAAGTCCTTGACCTGCTTCCGCGCGTGGCAACCGCACTGCATGCAGAAATACAAATCCGAGCCAAGCACCCACATACGATGCGACCCGTGCGTCCTCGCAAGCACCCTCGGCTTGCCTGGGCACTCATTCTGGATGATTGCACTCCGACGAGCCGCATTCACTCCACAAATTCTGCAACCCCACCTGCCATCAGCGTTGTGAAGCAGGTGGCCTCGATCCCCCGTGGTGAGTTTTAGCACGCACAAGGGTTCATCACCTAACAACTGGGTCTGCCTGGGGACCGTTGTAGCCCTCGGGACCTTGTCCACATCTGGAAACCCTAAAGTACTAAGGCGCCTCAGAGTGCCTGCCAGGAGCCTCGTGAATTGCCTACCGAAATCTTTGGCCGCCTGGATCCTTTGATCCAGCTGGGGAACTACAGGATGCTCTAGAGCCCCCAGCCTCGAATCAGCCTCCTCCTCCTCCTCCTTCTCCTCCTCCTCCTCCTCCTCCTCCTCCTCCTCCTCTCCTCCGCTTCCCTTCTCGATCCTCAGCATCCCCTCGCCGCGGGGGCCTGATGGGTCCCCGGTTCAATCAGCCCTGGTAGTTCACGCAGGACTGGTGTGATCGCTGGACTGATGATCCTCTTCCTTCTCCCCCTCCTCCTCTTCCTCCTCCTCCTCCTCCTCCTCTCCTCCTCCTCTCCTCCGCTTCCTTCTCGATCCTCAGCATCCCCTCGCCGCGGGGGCCTGATGGGTCCCCGGTTCCATCAGCCCTGGTAGTTCACGCAGGACTGGTGTGATCGCTGGACCGATGATCCTGTTGTCTCGGGGGTGGGCAGACCTTCTACCCTGACGCGTCGATTAGCGACTCGGCCGCTTTCGGCTCGCAAGAGGGCGTCGCGGCGGTCATCTTTGCGGGTCCAGGTCCGTCGGTTTCGGTCCCGGGCCGTTTTCACGAAGGGGAGGTTTACTAAAGGGAGGTTTGCCCACCGCCGGTTGTCGTTTCTTAGTGGGGAGGGCACCGTTGAGCCCGCCAGGGCAGCCCTCCAGGACAGCCCGTCCAATCCTGCGCGACACGGGCCCTGGCTTTTCGCCGCCGCTCCAAAGGTTTGGAACTTGGACGTCCTCCAGGGGGCTTGCACCCCCTCCCTGCGTCCTTACCCTGTCAGTTCGTGGCTGCAGGCCGCGCGCGCCTGCCTGCAGAGGCGGGCGCTCCTCGGTTGCCCGATCCTGCGGAGCCGCGGCGAGGCCCGTGACCCGGGCCTTTGACGTCGTGCCTTCGCCACAGCGTGGGCCCCCGGAGGCCTCGGCTCCTCCTCCCCGGGGGCCTGCCCTCTCCCACCCCGCGTCGCTCTCGGACGGCCCTGGGCTCCCCCGGAGAGGCCCGCGGAGGCCCGCGGGCGGCCGCGACCTGTCCGTCGTGAGTCTGCGCGGCGCGAGGTGGGCTGGGCTCTCGGTCCCCAAAGTCTGGGGCGCCGAGACCCGTACACATCCGCTGCTCCCTCGCCACGCCCATCCCGAACCCGCCAGCGGGGTATACGCCACGCCCTCCTGACCTCGCCAGGAGGGCGCATGCACAGCTGCTGGGTTCGGGATGGGCCTGGCGAGGGAGCGGTGGAGGTGCACAGATCTCGTCGCCCTAAACTTGGGGCCCCGGGCGGCCGTTCGGGCGGAGAGATTTGGCATTCCCGGACAGCTCTCGGCGAGGCGCAGCCGACGGAAAGCACCCCGGGACCCGAGATGCGCAGGAAGCTGAAGAAGGGGCAGACAATGTGTCCCTCGCAGCGCGAAAGCCCTGGCCATCAGTTCACGACGCGAAGAGGTCGTGGGATGCCCTGGCGGTCTCCTCGCCTGGGGGACCCGGACTCCAGATCCAACGCGTTGTGAGCGATTTCGTAAGTAGTGTGGGGATCTCCGCCCCACTGTTTCCGCCACCACCCCACTTGTTCTCATCGTTTGGGTGCATTTCCGATGCATTTGTACATCGGAAAATCAAGCAAAGGACGGTGGATTTGGAGTCGGGGTCGGGAGCGTCGGGAAAGAGGAGCGGGCGGGGGCTGGCATCGGAGGTTGCCAGGAGGTGGCACTGGCCCCAAAGGCGCCCCCAGCTTTCTTCACGCCACGTTGGAGTTCCGTGGTGCCTTCTGGGCCTCGTGAGAGCCGCTTCTGGAAGGCTCCATCTTGGCTTCGGATGTTCCAACCTACTTTAGCCATGACCACCAGGAATAATTTCGAGCACCAAGAAAGTACCGAAGCTTGAGGGTTTTCACGTGTCGGGCCTTGAGAGGCGATTCTTGTTCGACACTGTCTCGATACTTTCCTGGGCGCTCGAAATTATTTTTGGGGATTTGGTCCTTCAATACGATGTGAGCAACATAAAATCTCGGCTTCGCTGTACGACCTGGTGTCTCACCCCCCTTCCTCCCGCCCCTTTCTTCCCGCCTCTGCAAGCCGCGCTGCGCAAGTGTTTCCGACGCACCCTGGGCCAGGGCAGACCTTTGGCAACGCCTGAGCTGGGAGGGCCCCTTGGGCCCAGGCTTGATCTGGCCTAGGCCTTGACTTCGATCCGATGCCAGCCCGATCGCCTTCGAGGGCTCGAGAAGCGGGCACCTCTTCGTCGGCGCAGGCCCGCGGAAGCAGAGCCAGGGCGGCTCCGCTGGCGGAGGGCCAGCGGGAGGCGGTGGAGGTAAAAGAAGAGCCAGCTCTCAAAAAAGGTGCGCGCTTCAGGCCCCCGGAGACCAGGACACAGAGAAACCAGGACACGGGAAACGACATCCTTTTCTGCAAAGTCACGTTTTTCAGCACCCGTGCAAGTTTTGTTTGTTGCACTGCAGGATTCGGGTTTGTGTCCGGGTTGAGGTGGGTCTTGCAGGCTTTGGGGCCTGTGTCCGGGTTTATTCTGGAAGTGCTGCAGTGCAGCATTTTGTTCGTGCCGCCGTTTTGAAAAAATGGTTTCGAGGGATGCTGGGTGTCCGGGTCTAGCGTGTCCGGGTCTACGGGGCCCGGAGGCGGCGCTCTTTGTGGGCTCGGGGCTTCCAGAGCGGGCCCCGTGGCCGCCCCTCCTCATTTTTTGTCTCGTTTGCCGCAGTCGAAGTCCGGTCCAGGGGGCTGCTGCGCGAGCAGGGGCCAAGGAGGGGGGCGGCCGACCACCACCACCGGGGGGCCGAGGAAAGAAAGAGAACGACGGCGCCTGTCCGCGCCGAGGCGCGAGGGCACGATGCTTTAGTCAAACGAATAGGATGGGGACGATGTTTGGACTAGCACTTTTCGATTATTTTCCATCTATCGTCCAAAATCCGCCTGTAGGGGGGCACGCCCGACCTAACACTGTGCCTTGCGACGCCCAGGCCTCTCGTGCTGCAGCCGGCTGCTGCCATAGCGTCGTGTCGCCGGGGGCCGCGGCCGCGACGCGTTGAGCAGAAGTTCCCGGCCGCAGGCTTGCCCGAGGGTTTTTTGTTTGGTTTTGACGGATCGGCGGGTGCCAGGCCCAGCCTTCCTCGGGTCGCTTGGGCTTGTTTCTTGACTGCTTTCCTGAGGTCTCTTGGTCTTGGTTCCTTGCTGCCTAGCAATGCCTGCCAATACTAAGCAGCGCCAAGTAATGCAAAGCAGTATAAAGCAAGGCCAGGCAATGCTACGCAATGCCAAGTCATGCCAACTCATACCATTTCAGTGCCAAGCAACGCAAAGCAGTGCCAAGCAACGCCAAGCAATGCCAGGCGACGCCAAGCAATGCCAGGCATTATCAAGCAATGCCACAATGCAAAGCACACCAATATAAGACAACGGAAAGCAATGCCAAGCCAAACAGTGCCAAGCAACGACACTCAATACGAATCAATTCAAAGCAATGTCAAGCAAAGCAAATCAAAGCAATGCAAAGCAATGCCTTCATTACTGAAGTAGTTACTTACTCATGAAGCTTTCCGCTGATTGCGGTCGCGCCGGTGTTCCCAGTTTGTCTCACGACTTTTTTACCTGAGATGTGCTTGTGGTAGCAGTGGTGTTTCGCGTGGAAAACACGTTATTAATGCACGTGGCTGGACGCGTACGTACGCTTTTGGAGAGCTTTCGATTTCCCCAAGGAGGCAAAGCGTTGCGCGTTCCAGCATGTACGATTTGCTTCAGGCCGCAGAGTGTCCGTTGAAGCCTGGGCCCTGGCACTGCACCGAGAAGCGGCTTGTGGAACTTGGATAATCGGCTGTCCGCGTTCCCCCCTCTGTTCCCCCTATTTCCACCCCCTTCGTTATTTCCCGCCTCAACTGGAACCCGGCGCAGCAGCCGCCTCAGTCCCCGCCAGCCGGCCGCGCCAGCTCACCTAGGGAGTGATCCGTCCCCCCATGAGTGGCCCTCGCTTCCCCCCCCCCCCCTTGCGGCCGCCCGCTCCGTCCTTCTTCTTCCTCTGGCATGCTGGCCAATTCGCTACAAAAGTGCCCCCAGACTACCCCTGCCTAGCCGCCGACGCAAAAAGTCCCCCCCCCCACTCCGAAGACACTTCCCCAAGGAGGCAAGGACAAGGGCAAGGGCAAGGGCAAGAAGGGCGACAACAGCGGCACAATCGCCGGGAGTGCGTCGGGGTTCAAACGCGCGGAGCCGGCGATCGTCGAAGGCCGCCCCCTTCTCTTCGCTGCCGTCCCAGCGCACGTGGGGACTGGGAGTCCCACGACCAGCTGCAGCAGTGATGCGGCTGTCGCAGATGAGGGGGGAGGTTGCAGTTTTGGCTATGCATGGCCAACGTGAGGGTAACAGGACTCCTGTCAGGCTGGAAGCGAGACGCGAGTGGCAGTCTCGCTCGAGTGCGCAGCCCCGCCTCACGTCTGGTCTCGCTTTCTCTGTCTTTGGCCCCACCCTCTCACTGGTAACCCCTCCGGCACGAGTCCACGCTGCTCGGGCCCAGGCGGCCAGACCGAAAGAGGGAGAGAGAGAGAGGGATGGACAAGACCACTCCGAAAGAAAGCAAGACAACGGGAGATGCAGAAGCATGTTGAGCTAAGCTGAGGCGAGGCCGAGCGGGGTAGGGCGTCAAGCCCAGCAGCGGGGCACCACACCGCTACCGTGGATGTAAAGAATTAACGCGAAACCCATCCGTAACATTGAATTCCGCCATTCAAAGATATGGAACGCAAGCTAGGCATGAACGGCCCCAGGTTGAAAAAAATGCTTCCGTGTTTCGCGTTTATTGTTTACATTTTCGCGGGCAGCTGGCGATCTTGTCCTACCTGGAACTCGCGGCCTTTGAATGGCGAAATCCAACGTTATGAATAAGTTTCGCGTTAATTGTTTACATCCACGGTACCACCAGAGGGGGGGGGAGATGCGCAGCCTGCTGCCTGCAGCTGGCCTCGGCCCGGCCGCCGGGCACGTCCCTCGATGCATGGCCGCGTCCGGCGCCGCCCAGCGCCGGAAAGACCGGCTGCGCGCGGCGGACTCGGTACAGTCAACCCGCACAGTGAGGATGAGCAGCCTTCCCAAGTCAGGCGACTGCAAACATGGATCAAGGGGGCGTGGATTGGCGACGGGCCCCGTCTCCACGGGGAATCGCCGATTTCCGCCGCCGAGCGAGGCGGCGCCGGCCGCGTTTGGGGGAGGGCACCTCCCCCGATCCATGGATCTGGCGACCGCGCGCCAAAACCATGGATCGCTAATCCATCTCTGCGCGCCCCCGACCAAGGGTACCCTTGCATCCTCGCCCCTCTGGCCCATCCTTAGCGACGTCCGCTGGCCAGCCTCGCTCGAAGAACGCCAGCATGGCCCTCCAGGGCCCATGCATCCCTACCGCGTATCCTTCGTATACGGGCCGGCTGTGCCCTTCCTCTGCCATCGCCCCCTCCCGCCGCGTCGTGAGCCTCGGGCAGCCCGCGCAGCAGCAAGAGACGGCACACATACACGTTTTCGGGGAAGCGTAAGTCAGGAGGAAAAAAACACACACAGACACGATTAATCGTCGATCCCCCGGAAAATATAGGAAAATATGGGAAGTGGGGGGGAAGACAAAAATCCAGAAAATATTAGAAAATATGGGGATTCTGGTTATTTGTGTCTATATATTTGTGTGTCCCAGTTCCCCTTTAGTAAGACTCGAGGGGGCCGGAACTTGGGTTTGCCGACGTTTTTTGACGAGCGCGTCCTGGACTTTGACGGTCCCGTTTTCGTGGGACGTGTGCAGCGGGAGCTCGCGTCAAATGTTAAGTTGTGTCTCGTCATTTTTGCGATGGCCCCGTCAGGCCAACCCGAGTTTCCTGTATCAGAGTCTTATGTCTCCCCGACTTTTGATTGAAAGGTTGCCGCCTCTGTCGCCGACCTCAATTTGTGCTTTCGCGGAGGGGGGGCCCTTGGCAATCTTGAAGAGCCACGGAGAATCATGGGGTGACTCAGCGAGTGTTGTTCTGATCTTGGGACTCCTGGAAGGGTTCAGTCTCTGGGTATGTTACATACGTATGTATGTATGTATGTATGTATATATATACACACACGCAGCTCTAGTCAATGCACCCCTTCCGCATCACCATTATTTCGCCCTGCCTGCTCTCTCTCCTTGCACGCGCTGTCCGTTTGCTGTACTGACTAACTTCTTCTGCTCCTGCAGCTATACACATTGGCTCTAGGGAAACGGACAAGGAGCGAGCCTGCGGCGCGTGCGCGTGCGTCGGCCGGCGGGCTGGCCTCCTCCCTTCAGTGCTACCTCAGTGTATCCTTGACGGCACTATCCCTTCTTACCCATGTCATCTGCGGAGCCCACTGACCATGATATAGCATCGGAACCTCTTGCAGGGATTCTGAAGATCCAGGCAAAAGACGGGTTATCAGCCGAAACGACGGCATAGCCGTTCGCTTCGCAGAGCATGGGATCTCAAGAAGGAGCGCTCGGGCGAACAGAGGATCGAATACTTTCCGAGCGTAACACGAGTATAAGCGACTCAGCGGGTCGACGCAATATTCTTATTAACTTTCCCAGTAAGAAAGAATCAGATATTATGTTCGACTTAACAGAAGGGGATTCACCTGTTGATTCAGTGACAAGATCCAGAGAACAAAACTCGAGCGGAAGGTATGGCACCGCCAAAGCTTCCGCCGAGGGATCCTCTGAGCTGGCGTCGGCACACCCTGGCTTTCAGCCATCGATTGACATAAATCTCGACATGGAAAAGTTGTTGGATCATATCCCCATCGAAACGTCAGGCGCCGAAAGTCTAGGCGCCGAGCATGCAGTGCAGTGTACGTTGTATGGACAGAGTGAGGATGTGAGCGATTTACAATCTGAAGGGATCCGAAGCGATTTACAATGAGGAGTGGCTTTTGACAGGGACGGCGTGGGGAGGTCGCATGGGGTTGGCTGCGCATGCTCCGAATTTAAAAGCAGAGTGTATTTCGTATGGTCTTTTACAAGGGATGGTGGGGGGGGTGCCCGCATTGTTCTCGGTTGGCTACCAGTCGCCTGGGGGAGGGGGTGTTTATTAATAGGGAACAGTGATAAACCCCTCCCCGAAGGGGAAGAAAGGGGCGGATGAGGACACACCCTAGACCACCTACGCCTTAAAGGGCTGGTGGGATTATTCATCAGCGCCACGTTGGAACGAGCACAAATTCGAAGACTCTCTGCGGCACCTGCAATCAGCGAGTCTCAGACCACGTTGACCAGGGTTTCTTCTGGACTGTCGCCATGGTTTCTCTTGGGCCCCGCGTGGCTGCAGAGCACGCGCGGACGGACCCTGGGGGCTGAGGGAAGGGGGGTGCCCGACGGATTTTTGCTGGGTGGGTGGCTTTAAAACTTTCGAATGTGGGCACGGGACAAAGCATCGAGGAATTGGGCGCGGTCGGCCGCGGTGGGAGGTCAGGGCTGAGGGTGCCGGACGGATTTCTGCTAGGTGGGCGGTTCGAGATTCAGGAACGTGCGTCTGCCCGACTTTTACCATTACTATTCTTGGGGTCCTCGCGGATTCCCAGGGAGGCCCGGCACAGCTCCGCGAAGGCCGCGCGGACCGCTGGCAGGCCGTGCTCGTGCCATTTTTCCCTTTCCCCCCCCCGGCGGCAGCTCGAAAGGGGACGCCCCGACCGCGGACGTGCGAGGGGCCCGCCGGCGGCGGCCGGAGGGGGGAATGTGAGCATGAAAAGGCCCCTGGGGCGCCCTCCTCCACGGGTCCCGGGACCCTCCTCCTCCTCCTCCTCCTCCTCCTCCTCGTCCTCCTCCTCCTCCTCCTCGTCCTCCTCCTCCTCCTCGTCTTCCTCCTCCTCCTCCTCCTCGTCTTCCTTCTTCTCCTCCTCCTCCTCCTCCTCCTCCTCCTCCTCCTCCTCCTCCTCCTCCTCCTCCTCCTCCTCCTCTGTTTCCTCCTCCTCCTCCTCGTCCTCCCTCCTCCGGTCCAACTCATCCTCCATCTCCGCGCGCGTTCCTGCGCGCGCGCCGCCCAGCGCGTATTATGAGCAGGAGAAGCACCATTGTAAACCTAAGACGCATCAGCGAGTCGTGGTCGTCGTGGTCGTCGTCGTCGTCGTCGTCGCCCAAGTGCTGACCCTCGCCGCCACGCCCTCGCGGTCTGTCGGCGGCGAGCCCAGGTGGGAAGTGAGAAGGGGCGGGCCTTCTCGGAAGGCTCGGAAGGCCTCCGGCCTTCTGAGAAGCTTTCTGGGCCTTCCCGGAAGACGCACAACAAAAAAAAATCTTGGGAGGCGCGGGGGCTTCCGAGAAGTCCCGCCGCCTTCCGAGAAGGCCTCCTCCTTCTCATTCCCCCCTAGGCGCGCCACTGATGGGTTCCAGGGCGCGATCCCGCGGATACGAGGTCGCTCGGATACGTTCCTCGCGGAGCATCTGCGAACAAAAACGTCCCGTCTTTGCGGGTCGTGGCCCAAGGGCCTGGCCCGCGAGGCCTGGCCCTCGCTCGCCGCCGAGCCTGGGGACCTTTTAGGGGGGCGCCTCGGCGCACCCTTGTGCGCCAGTGCTACCCTGAGGACACGCCAGCCGTGGCCGCTGGCCGTCCGCCCCGCGGGAGCGCTTCCCACACCTGGGGCGCTTCGGGAAGGGCCTGGCCTCGCGTCGAGGATCGGAGTATGGCATCTCCTCCCGACGGAAGGCGAGGGAGAACAACGTGCACGAGCACAAACGTTTCGAGGTCCGAGCGGACTTCTTGGATCGGCGCTATCTCCTCCCGACGGAAGCCGAGGAAGAACAAACTGCATGAGCATAAACGTTTCGAGGTCCGCGCGGACTTCTTGGATCGGCGCTGGCCCCCCCATCCCTGGCGCGCGGAGCGCGCCAGGGGCGGCGCCGGAGGCGCCGCCATGGGGATTCCAGCGCAGTTTCAAGAAATCCGCGCGGAGCTCCGAAAATCTATGTTTATGCTGCTTCTTCGTCCTCCATGCAAGGATCGAAGGAGTTGGCATCTCCTCCCAACGCATGGCGGCGGAAACAAAACGAGGCCGCCTCCGCTGGCGGAAGCGTCTGGGGCCCGGGGGCGCCCCACGCGCTTGCTCACGAAGACAGGCCGGTCGTGGCTGCCCGCCGTTCGCCTCAGTGGGTGCGCTGCCGGCGCAGAGAGCACGCTCTCGAGCTGTCTCTGACATTCGGAGGGGCAGAGGTGTACCGATGCCGCTGCTCGTCCTGGAGAGCCCCCGTCGCCACGGCTGGATTCTCCTCGGCGCCCTGGTCAGAACGCGCCCCGGGAGAGGTCCGGCGAGCATCGGGGGCGGCCAAGGGGGTGGTGATGACTACTGTGGGGGCCCATGCCAAGAAGCACCCTGCTCGCCTCCAGGGTGCCCTGGGCTTCTTGGGTTTCGATGGTGTTGCGATGGAGGGCGCGACGTTCCCACGCAAAAAAACAGTGGACGTCCTGGGGTCTCAGGGTTGGGTTTCTTGTGGAAGGTCTCTTGTGGACTGGCCTCCGCTGTAGGCCAGCGGAGGTAAAGAAGCGGCGGGTCGGTTGGCGGAAGCCGGCGGACGGTCCACAGAAGGCGTCGGAAGTGAAAGTCCGACGTCGTCGTTTTTGGGGGTCAGGGGTTCCAGACCCGGCCACCTGATGTGGCTGGGCAGGGCGAGCGCCTTCTCCGGCGCTCCGCTCCCGTGCGGCTGGGCACTCTACCTGCAAGCGGAGCAGCGCGCGTTCTCCAGATGCTCCACGGACGGACGCGGCCACGCGTGCTACAGCTTCCTGGTCTCTTGTGGGCTGGCCTCCACTGCAGGAGGGTGGGGATACCATGGCCGGTGCCATGACACCTCCCTGGATCTCTTGGCACCCTCGTCTTCTTTCGGTGCGCCCGGTGGCTCCCCCTCGTCCGCCGCATGCCTCGGGGGCCGTGAGTTGCGACCCCCCCCCTCTTGGACGCCCCCGAGAGTACCCATCGGTCGTTGAGGGCAGGTCATTGTGGGGTTCCCAGGTTCCAATCTGCCTCAGCCGCCTTCCTACTTCAAGAGTCGAGTGGCTTTCCCTCTCCTCCCTCCTCTAGAGGAGGCGGGCGGGAGCCCGATCTGCTCCCAGCGCCTTCCTACTTCAGATGGTTATACCTACTTCTTCCGACCGATGGGTAGATATGGGCAGCGGTGTCGGTATCTTTCTGTTCCCCCTCAATGGCCACCTGGTTTCCTGCAGGTCTCACTCGGGAGGAAAGGGCGATGACGGTCCTGCGGCAGGGTTGCCTGCCGACTCCCCGGCACGAGTCGGACAATGATCAGGTGTGTGCGTTGTCTCCCTGTCGCCTCTTCCTCCCTCCTCTCCAAAATAGCGCTGGAAAAAAAATCTGTTCCCCCTCAACGGCGTGTGCGGGCAGCGGAGCGGACGATGCCCTCCCTCGCGCCCTCGGCCTCGGGCGGGAGGAGTGGGCCCCCCCGGCGGGAGGCCCTCGAGGAGGGGGCGCCGCCGCGGGCCCCCTCGGAGCCTCGGGCCCGCAGGTCGGCCGGGCTCCCTGACCTCCAGCAGGGCCCCCTTCGATCTGATCGATCCGATTCGATGTCGATTGGAAAAAGCAAACACACACAAAACAAAAACAAAAGACAGTAGCAAAAACAAAAACAAACCAAAAACAAACAAACACACAAACACACACACACACACACACACACACACACACACACACGCACACGCACACGCACACGCACACGCACACGCACACGCACACGCACACACACACACACACAAAGCACAGAAAACACGGAGCGAGCCGACTCGACTCCGATAGTCCGAGGGTCCGATGCGGCCCGATGCCTGCACGGCGCCGATGCTCGTCCCGGCGCGGCCGATCCGATCTGAGATTTCGCCTCCGTGCCGATGCCGCCCGATCCGAGGCACATCCTGGCATCGCTCGGACGTGTGCATTTTTTCTCGGCGAGGACCATCGAGGAGCATCCTTGATCATTTGGCGAAAAAACCACGCACGAAAACAAAAAAAGCACAGGGAATGGACGTCCGAGCGATGGCCAGACATGTCGATTCGATCCGACTCCCCGTTTCGATGCTGGCCGATCGATCCTGCCCCTGGGCGAGGTGCGGGGTGCAGAGGAGCAGAGGAGCAAGAGGCGAGGATCGTGATGCGTTCCTCGATTTCCCAGGAGTTCCAGGATTTCCCCGATCCCTTAATGTCCCGCACGAGCTCCAGAAACAAGGGCCGCTGGATACTGGGAATCCTGGGACGTCATCCTAGGCCAGCCTGATCTGCTCGTGGCCACGGCCTCAACTTCCAGCGCATCTCGTCGCTAGTTCCGTGGCTGCTGCTGCCTCGCTGCTTGCATGGATCAATTCATGTGCGGAAGACATCTGTATCCGCGGCCTCGCGGGCCAGGCCCTTGGGCCACGACCCGCAGATACGTGACGTTTTTGTTCGCAGATGCTCCACGAGGAACGTATCCGAGCGACCTCGTATCCGCGGGATCGCGCCCTGGAACCCATCAGCGGCGCGCCTAGGGGGAAACGAGAAGGAGCAGGCCTTCTCGAAAGGTGGCGGGACTTCTCAGAAGCCCTCTGTCCTTCTAGGAAGTGTTGGTGTGTCTTCGGGGAAGTCTTAGAACATGTTTCAGAAGGCCCGATGCCTTCCGAGCCTTCCGAGAAGGCCAATCACTTCTCACTTCCCACCTGGGCTCGCCGCCGACAGACCGCGAGGGCGTCGCGGCGAGGGTCACCACCTGGGCGACGACGACGACGACGACAACGACGACGGCTGCGACGACGACGACAGCGACGACGACGATGGATACGTTCGCCGCTCTTGAAAAAGCCCTCCTCCCCCTGGCCTCCCGCGCGCCGGAGCCGCCCTGGCAGGCTGCGACATGCTCTGCAAGGAGCTGGTGCAGCAGATGGCGAGGCCGGGGCGCTCTGCGGGCGGGCGGGACGGGAGGCAGGCCTGCGGGCCCTCTGGCGGCGCCTCCGACGCCGCCCCTGGCGCGCTGCTGCGCGCGCCTGGGAAGGGGGTCCAGCGCCGATCCGAGAAATCCGCGCGGACCTCCGAAAGTGTATGCTGTGTCATGGCTTGTTCCCCCAGGACAGGCCTGCGCGCATGCTGGCCATCTAGCACCTTTCGGCGGTCGTCGTTCGCAACACGCACACACACATGAATACCGCCAGTGCACGCCTGGCGTGTTCACTGCATCATACACCCACGACGTATGCGCCACATACTGGGCACCCACATGAGACACACGTCCAGATATAGCCGCACACGCATCAGACACATGACACATACTGGGCACTGACATGAAACACACGTCCAGATACAGCCGCAAACACACACACACACACACATACACACACACATCGACGCCACAGGTGTTGTGCTGGTGGTGGGTTCCTTATCCGTCGTACGCTCGCAAAGTGTGGCAGGGGTGACATTTTCTCGACGCCACAGGGGGTGTGCTGGGGGTGGGGTCCTTATCCGTCGTACGCTCGCAAAGTGTGGCAGGGGTGACATTTTCTCGATGCCACCGGGGGTGTGCTGGGGGTGGGGTCCTTATCCGTCGTACGTTCGCAGAGTGTGGCAGGGGCGGCCTTTTCTCGACGCCACAGGGGGTGTGCTGTGGGTGGGGTCCCTATCCGTCGTACGCTCGCAAAGCGTGGCAGGCGTGGCAGGCGTGGCATTCTCTCGACGCCAGAGGGGGTGGCCTCTCACCGTGATTCCTATGCGTTGCAGGCTCGCAGGGCATGGCAGGCGTGGCATCTCCTCGACGCCACTGGGAGTTCGCTGGGGGTGGGGGCGCTATGCATTGCAGGCTCGCAGGACGTGGCATTTCCTCGACGGCACAGGGGGTGCGCTGGGGGTGGGGGCGCTATGCGTTGCAGGCTCGCAGGGCATGGCAGGCGTGGCGTTTTCTCGACGGCACAAGGGGGTGCGCTGGGGGTTGGGGCACTATCCGCCCTGGTCGTCCACGGCACAGCAGGCGCGGCATTTTCTTGACCACTTAGCATGATCCACGTATGTTGCATGTCAGCTACGCTAAGACACGAGTTCAAACGAAGTATGTGGGGTTCCTGGGTAGCGTAATTTGTGGGGGTCCTTCGGGCTCTTGGGGCCCTCTTGGGGGATCTTGGGGTCGCCTTGGGGTAGACTTGAAGCCTTTATGGGGCCCCTCTTCGGGCTTTCTTGGGCTATCTTGGTCGTGCCATCTTGGTCGGGCTCTCTTGGGCTATCTTGGGCTATCTCTTGGGGACGACGCTGGCCCCAGTAGCCTGAGTGGCCCCAAGTGCCCCCCCCCCGATAGGTGCCTGACCCTGGCTGCGCTCTCGACTGGCGGAATAGGCCGAGTAGCCCCTGGGGCAGCTTGGGCCCCTCCTCCTCCTCCTCCTCCTCCTCCTCCTCCTCCTCCTCCTCCTCCTCCTCCTCCTCCCGGGCCCACTCGGGGCCAACTCGGGTCATTTGGGGGGACTCGGGGCACTTGGTGGGCGATTGTGGCGTTGGGTAACCTTGGGCCATCTGGAGATAGACTGGGCGCGTGGAAGTGGCCCAACTGGCCCTCAGACCCAGGCACAGGATTGTTGGGCAAGTGTCCCAAGCGGCCGAGTGGCCCCGAGTGCCCCGATAACTGGCCCGGACCATCACTTGCCATTTCGGCCAGCGGGCAGCCCGGGTGGTCCAATCGACTCCCGGCCGAATTGTGCGAGCGCGCTGAAGCACTTTCCTGGTCGAGGTGGCGCGGCCTCGCTCTTGGGGCTCCGACAGCCGCCCGACGCCCGCCGACAGGGAGAAGCTGTGGCGCAAGGCGGCGGATGGCACGTTGAAGCTGGCGGTCTCGTGGGGTCTCTGGTGGCCCCCCAGGGGCCCAGAGAGGGCCACGCACGCTTGGAGGCAGTGGCCCTCCTCCTGCTGTTGCTGCTGCTGCTGCTGCTGCTGCTGCTGCTGCTGCTGCTGCTGCTCCTCTTCCTTCTCACGAGGCATAGTGACGGCGTCGGCGGGTTGACGCGGCCAGTTGTCCGTGCCCTGCGAGGGGGGCTCGGACAGCCCCAGAGCTCTGACGTCTCCAGTCCTTCAGAGACAGCGCCTCCAGACCTCTGGACCACTCCCAGGGGTGTGGGTTATCACTGATATCACCCGAGGCCGTCCCTTGCCTTTCCTGATCCCGGAGCGTGGCCACTGGATGCGGAAACCTGCCCCGAACAAAACTCCGCCCCCTTCTCTCCAACGCGCCGGTGGCCCTGGGCCGCCCGGAGCCCGCGCGGCAGGGAGAAGTGCACGCTCATCGTCTTCCTGCCCGGCATCGCGGACATCACCTCCTTCTACGAG